CTCACTCTCTCTCTCTCTCTCTCTCTCTCTCCCTCTCTTTCTCGCTCTCTCTCTCTTTCTCTCCCTCTCATCCTCTCTCTCTAAGCACGCAAAATACTAAGCAATTTTTCATTTCATCCCTCCACCCTCACCCCAGGAATGGCCTAGATTACTTCATCTACGTGTACATCAAGCCTTACACCAGGTGTGGCCCTTACGCCATCGGTCTTGTCCTTGGGTACTTGCTGTTTTCATCAAAATGCAAGGTTCGGTTGTCAAAGGTGAGTAGGAATGATGGAATGAGATGAAGGAAGCCAGGCAAGACGGGAAGAGATAACTAGAGATGAAGAAAGAAACCAGGCGGAATGACTAGAGATAAAAGGGGAAGAATGATGCTAGACAAGATGAGAAGAAATGAAAAGAGGTTTTGAATGATGCTAGGCAAGATGAGGAGAGATGAAAGGGATGCATGAAACTAGGCAAGATGAGAAGAAAGAAAGAGGGATAGAAGAAGAAGCTGGGTAAGATGAGAAGAGATGAAAAGGAATGAATGAAACTAGGCGATATGAGATGAGATAAAATGATGTGAGACGGTTGAGGTGAGGTAAGAAGACATGGGATTATATTTGTTGAGGTATTAAAAAGAGGTATGAGATTAGATGAGCTAAACCGAGACTAAATGTGTATGACTAGTCAATATGAGCTTAGACGAAAAGAGATACAAGCAAACGGAATGATTTAGATGAATGAAATGAATAAGATGTCATGTGATTTTAAGATGATAGTGGGAAGGATGAAAGCGGATAAGATATAATGAGATGAAATAAGTTTTTTTTATTGCTACCTATTTATTTTTTGGTAGCATTTACATTTGCATACTTCGAAACATCGTTGTTGTTAGATTCTAACGCATGCCGTGGTAGGAATGTCTTCTGACCGATAGACCGTCGAAAGGCGCAGGAAAAAAAAAAGTTGGGAAGCGCGATTACAGGTTTCGAAAGGTGCAACATTGTGGTTATACTTTGGAACAGCACTTTCCCTTATTTCTTGCACTCACCCAGCGGTAAATAGCTGCACAACTTGGCAATCGTCAACGATGGAACCGATAAATATCCGTGATGTTCCTCTATCGGTCTGCATCGATATATATCAATCTGAAAGGGGGGGGGGGGCAAAATGGTAGCTTGATAGAAAGGGGCTGGTTTGAAGAAGTAATCTCAAAGTTGTGTAAGTGGCGAATCATTCACAATTGATTATATTAATCTTTCTAACTTTAACTGTTACAAAAATACATTTTGTGTAACGTTTACAAGTATTACTTTACACTTTCAGGTGGTGTCCTTCATTGGTTGGCTTCTGGCCTTCGGTATAAGCCTGACCTTGGTGTACATAACCTACGACAATTTCAAGGACGGCGGTATCGCGTCTCTCTCCTGGAGTGATGAAGCCTCGAACTCTTTTGAGATCGTGTCTCGGCCTCTGTGGGCCGTGTGCATGTCCTGGGTGATCTTTGCTTGTGCCACTGACCACGGAGGTGGGTACATCAACAAGACGTGTGGGAAAACACGTCTCATCGATAATTCCTTATTTTGTCATCGAGCCCCCCTTCCCCCCCCCCACTTTTTTTTCTCTGTATACTGTCTGCCTTTTGCCTTGTGTGTGAGAATGTGCACCTGTCTAGCTTTGTCTGTTTATCCGTCTGTATC